TTTAATAGTATAATTATGAGAGGAGTGATACTTATAAAAACGTACGTCCTGTACTAGTGCTACGTCCTAATTATCTTCGCCAGACAAGTTCCCATGTATGTAAACATGAATACGCGTACCTCCTCCATACGTACATATATAAGAGTATTTTATACAACTGTGTTCGTCAATGGAGCTCAAAAGGCCAGACAATTATTAGTATGATCTTGATCAACTTTCTGTTAAAAAAAAAAAAAAGTATTCTTCATCAATTGGTCATTCTCCTACCTCTATATAAACACATACGTGCGTTTAAAATTAATTTTAAAATGATTTTATTTTCAATAAAAAGTAAAAATGAGATTGTTTTGATAATCATTCTGATATCGATTTTGAAATTGCGTTTAGTTGGTTTTTTAAGAGATTATTTTAAGTATAATAAAAAAGTGAAATCATGTTTATTAATTAATATATTATAATATTGTTGATAAGTACTAAAAAATGAAAACATAAAAGTGAAAATAACTTTCAATTGTTTTCTAATTCCTTCACAAAAATCATTCTCATTGTTTTCGTTTTCAAAACATTTACTAAATTAACAAACGTCGTTTCGTTTTCATTTTTACTTTTTACTTTTCAAAATACGTGAAAATCGTTTTAAAAACGGTTCCAAACACGCACATAAGTTTTGGAGAATTAATTGACAAAGAATAAGCTTATTGTCCGTACTAGGATATTCAAAATGGCAGCTCGTAACGAGTCTTTATTAGTAGTAATAGTAAGTGTTTTAGTTGTTGTTAATGCTATTATTATGATCCCTGCAAGTGCACAACTCACAGCTAATTTCTATGAAAAGTCATGCCCTCAGCCTCAGGCATTATTGGACCTCATCAGATCAGTGGTTGAAAATGCCGCATGGGAGCTTCACTTCTCCGTCTCCACTTTCATGACTGCTTTGTAAACGTAAGATACACACACACACACACACACACACACACACACACACACACACACACACACACACACACACACACACACATATATATATATATATATAATCATCAAATTGCTTCTCTTTCTGTCTCTCGTGTTAATGTTATGTTGTGTGTATCTGTGTGGATATATGTACTACGCACGCATTATGAATTTCCTGAACAACAGAGAATATTATGGTTTGTGTAAAGAATAAAATAAACTTAGGTCTCAATTAATTATAATATAAACTTAAACTTATAAGGACACATCATAGGTCACCATGGTTAACAGGTTGATGAGTTTTAGTTTTATTTCCATAATTTCTTAAAAAATCCAAAACTCTTATATGGTTTGAAGTTGGAGCTATAATATATTATCTTAGGTGTCATGGTCACATATTAACGACGTGAAAAGTACAAAAGGCATCACAATCAGTTATCATGTATTTACTAATTCATTGATTTTTACATATATATGACGTAGTTTTATCAGGTCATGTAATGAAAAACAAAACATACGACTTTCAAGTATATATACATCAACACACACGTATATATATGCATCCGATTATTATTTTATTCTATTGGTGTCAATTACAGGCTGTGACGGATGAACTTTGGTTGATGACACCAATACTTTCATCGGTGAGAAGACAGCTGGTCTGAATGTAAACTCAGTCATGAGGGGTTACGATGTGGTTGATGAAATCAAAAGCACTCTCAATTTTTAAAGCAAGAGCAAAGTTATCTCATGTGCAGAGATTTTGGCAGTTGCAGCTCATGATTCTATTGAGCTTGTGAGTTCCTTTTAATTTCTTTTCATATTCTTACGTTTGAATATATATATATATATATATATATTTAGTAGAGCATATTACTACATATGTCGCCAAATTTTATTGATTTTTTTACTAATGTTTTTATTGCCATTTTGGTAATGTTTTAAGATGATTCCAATTTCAGAAATATGTACTATTAATAAGACATTTCTACTTGCAGAATTTACTGGATTCTATATGTATGTGAGTCCCAACTATGTTAAAAAAGAGTTGAAAAATAATTGTTTTAACCTATTAAAATTGGACCCATATAAATAGTTCTGTGGTGACAAATCGAAGTGCTCTACCCAAATAATGTTATGTTATATCAAATAACGCGATGTATGATGAATTAGAGATAGTCATTGGCAGAGCGTTATATATTTGGTAATTTAATATTTTTTTCATACTTTTACTTAATTTCCTTTTGTAATTAATTATGTGTCTGCTACATATAGTTGGGAGGTCCTGCGAACCAATTATTGCTTGGTAGAAGAGATGCAAGAACAGCAAGCTTTGATGACACAAATACCAATCTCCCTGCTCCATTCTTGAGCTTCTCTTAACTTGTCTCCAACTTTGAATCCCACGGTCTTCAACTAAAAGACCTTGTTGTCCTCTCAGCAGGCCATACCTTAGGACTAGCCAAATGTGTCCACTTCAGAACCCGAATCTACAACGACACCAACATTGATCCTAATTTCTTCAGTCTCCATGCAAAAGATCTGTCCCGCGACCGAAGGAGATGACAACACGGCTTCATTCGATGCAACCACGTCCGCGAAATTCGATACAGCCTACTTCAAGGGTTTGGTTGGATCAAAGGGTAGAGCTCTTCAAGGGGATGGCGGTGAGAGTGATAATGTGGTTCAATACTACAGTAACAACCCTAAAGCATTCTTTAAAGCTTTTAGGGATTCCATGATCAAGATGGGTAATATGAAGGTTCTTACAGGATCCGATGGAGAAATAAGGATGAATTGTAGGAAAGTTAATTAATTAGCCTAATTAGTAAGTCCTACGCGTTAGCTGAATCAACTGTTCTCAATCAGTAAGGACTTATAATTATATATCTTATTACATGAAGAATCATATAATTAGTATATATGTATTTCGTTTAAAAAAAATATTTGGGTTATCACTAGTGCTAAGCACCAGTTGATAAAGAATGGGCTCCATCAGTGTCCTTCATGGTACAAAATTCACTTTTTATTGATAGATGTTTAATAAGGGGGTGTTCAAAAAGGAAAATGGGTTTTTTTTTTTTTTTAATTACTGGAGAAGAAAAACGGACAACAAGAGTAATAATTAAGTCAAACCATTCAAAGAACAAGATTTCATCAACATTGTGTCAAAGGATTTTCTCCGGTACGCTAACGTACTGGTAGGTCAAGTTTTCTATCCGTTAAATCTACATAAAATCAATTAAAAGTTAAAAAAATATGTAGATCTAACAGTTAAAAAAACATGACCCACCGGTATACTAGACGTGCTAAGGAATCTCCCTAATTTTAAAAGTTGAATATTTATTACTGATGAAGTAAAAGAAAATCCTTAATTAATAACAATTCAACAAAAAAAAAAAGATAATATACAAACACCATCAAATGAGATGACCTTGGTGACTACAGTATTGTACTTACTGATGATGATGCTTCTTTTGTTTTCATCTTTATTTTTTAATTTTTGGCCTGCGCGGTAGAAGACAAGTCTAACTATTTCTTTTGTTTGTAATTAGTTCTTTTTTTCTTTAGGGCTAAGTCTAGAAGCTAAGTGGGAGATACATATCTATCACTTTATTGAATTCTTGTACAAGAATAAGCAGTTTTCAACGTTGGGCAGGTAAATTCTATAAGACTCAACCCGTACTTGAATTGAAATTTCCCATAAAAAGAAAAGACAAAGTCAACGGTCATGGTCAACATTTGACCTATCAGGGCTAGACTGGGTCGGTCAACCCAACCTGAATACGGATCCAGCCCACACCCGGTCCAGCCTTTTCCTTTTTTTTAGGTTACGGGCCCAAATGGGCCCGTCTTCTTTTTCCTAC